TGAAAGAAATTTTAATGAATAGTATCAAGAAAGCATTTTTGAATCAATTAAAGCATATAATTATAAGTTATTAACCAATCAAGTAATCACTATAATCATAATTTACCAATCAATTACTTAATATCTTCATAATTTACAAATCAATTAAATAGTATAATTATAATTATTGTAATCAAGTAATTGAATGAATTAATTATAGTTTACTTATCAAAAAAGTTATTGTCTAAATATATGATTTACTAATGAAATAATTAATCAATGTAATTATAAAGTTTTAATCAATTAAAAAATTTAATTAAGTATAATTTAATTATCAATTAAGTAAATAATTTAAGTATAATTGACTAATCATTCAATTAAGCACTAACCCATAATTAATCAATCAAGTAATTAATATTAATTTAAATCAATATAATCATAATTTAAAAATAAATCAACTAATTTATGTGATCATTATTAAACAATCGAGAAAATAATATAATCAATAATTTATAATCAATAAATTAAAAATATTAATTAAGTGAATAAATTAATTAAAGTTTACTTAATTACCAATTAAATATGTTATTATGAATACTAAATCAAGTAATTATAATCACTATAAATAATTATATTTCTTAATCAACAAACAAATTTTAAATCAATTAAAGCATAAATTATAATTTAGTAATCAATAAACTAATCAATATAATTATAATTTATCAAAAAAATATTAATTAAAATCTTCAAAGTTTACAAACCAATAAAATAGTAAAATCATAATTTTATTATCAAGTAACTGAATGAATTAATCATAGCTTACATATCAATTAAATTAGTGTGTAAATATATATAATTTACGTACTAATTAATCAATTTATTTATTTCATTATAAATTTGTAATCAATTAAACAATACTAATTATGTGTAATTTAATTATCAATTAAAGAAAATAATCATAACTGACTAAACAATCACTTAATCACTCTAATGATAATTAATACATTTGTAATTAGTTACTATAATTATTTTAATCAATATACTCATAATGTAGAAAAGAATGAAATAATTAATATGATCATTATTTACCAATCAATTAAATAATATAATCAAAATTATAGAATAAAATAATTTGTGTAATTAATTAATTGAAGAAATTAATCATAGCTTATAACTTAGTAATTAAATATGTTAATATGAATACTAAATCAAGCAATTATAATCATTGTAATTAATTTTATTTTTTAATTAATTAAGCAATTTTGAATCAATTAAAGCATATAATTATAAGTTATTAAACAATCGAGTAATTACTATAATCATAATTTACCAATCAATTACTTAATATCTTCATAATTTACAAATCAATTAGATAGTATAATCAAAATAATTGTAATCAAGTAATTGAATGAATTAACCATAATTTACTAATTAATTAAATTATTGTGTAAATATATGATTTAATAATCAATTAATTAATTAATCAATGTTAATATAAAATTTTAGTCAATTACAACATTTAATTAAGTAAAAATAATGTATGAATTGAATAATATAATTATAATTGAGAAATCAACCAATTAATTACTATAATCATAATTAAAAAAAAAGTAATTATTAATATAAATATTATATTTATTCAATATAAGCATATTTTATAAATCAATCAATCAAGTATTTAAATCTTGTGATTAAATATGTAATTAAGATTTACTAATCAATCAATGTGACAAAATTATAATTATAAATATTATATTTAATCATTTAATAAATTTAATTAAGTATACTATTTTTATAAACCAAATTATATTCATAATTCATTAATAAGTAAAATCATAATTTCTCAATCAATTCAAGAATATGAT